AGAGGCTCTTCAGGCTGTGCTGATATCAGCAAGGACGCTTGCTGACGTACCTGCCTTTCGATTTTTGGTGGCGCTATCAAGGCGTCTTTGTTAAACTCTTCTGTTGTCGCGGACCCAATCACCTTACAGTTCTGCAAGTCCAGCACTAAGTATTCATCTAAAGGGCTAATGCACTGGAGTTCAAAGGCGATTTTGCTCTTGCGAGCATGGATCTAAGTGACGGTCTCATCCGTTGAAATGATTCCAGGTCGGTTATTTCTTGATCCAGTATCATTCCAATGGCTCGTGCAAACAAATGAAGTCAAAGCTTCTTTGCTGTTGATAGGACAAACAAGTACAGGACATAATTAGTCCTCCTGTCCCACATTGCTGAGCTATGCACTTGGAGGGATCTTTCAGATGACCCTTCGATGTGGCATACTCTTTGGTGGCCTCAACCTGCTTAGCAACTAAGTGCCTGCCCGAAAACCCACGAAGAACACCAATCTATATGAAGGAAAGGCAGCATGCTCATCCCCGACCAAGGACATATTTTGGGTGGGTTTCTGCGGTCTGAGAGCGATTCACTATTTGGTTGCTTCCACAACTTTGGAGTAGAATGACAGGACGATTGTTGGCACGCTGTCCTTCTCAAGCAGTGTCGTAAGTTGCTGTGTTGTGTCTGCAAATAATACAATTGACATACCGTGCAGTCTACCAACTCGCTCTGAGTCTGTATCTCAAGATTTGTCCCAACCTCTGAGGTCTCTCCAAAGCGCGGCTCTTCTAAGAAGCCGCCAATGACCTAAAGCAAAGGAATTTTGTCTTCAAGTTCCCTTCAAGTCTCAATAAGGCTGGATACAACCCTCTTCCGAGCCTTTGCGATCTGATTGTCAAATTTACTTTGTTTAAAGCCCGCTCCCCCCTCCCTACTTAATTAAGTAGGCCCTACTTAATTAAGTAGGCGCCTACTTAATTAAGGGAGGCTAGTTAGCTATGAGGAACTTGTTCGCTCCTAGCATTGACGCAGGATAGCTCACGCTTCTTCAAGGAAGTGCTCGCACTAATAATTTGGTTCCTAGCATTTTAAGGACACTGATATAACTAATAACTGCTCCAATGTTCCAAATTCAAGCTGTTTCGTCAGCCTCCTTATCGTGGGGACCTTCTCTCAGCAAGTAGAATGGTTCCAGCGTGGTGACCTGCAAAACTGCTCAGCGAGGTTCCAGCTCATGAAGAATGGAATGTCCGCCATTCATCGCCTGAGGAAGCTTGATGGGCTTCACCAGCTCTAAAATGGCCCAGAAACTGTTCACCTTGGTTTCTGCAGGAATTTGCTGAGTGATCACACATGATGACTCAAGGTGTCTTCTTTATATGACCAGTCATGGATGTTGCCAGTGTATCTCGCACCCTCAAGGCCACCATATTTCATGTGAGAATTGGCACAAACAAACTTCCATGACATGCATTTGATTGTGCTTTGTTCCATTCCATGCAAATTGAGGTGCATGCACAAAGTCCAGATGTTGCAAATCCAGACGTTTGGGCCTCGCGCAAAAGGAGTAAAGGCATTTCAAGGCAGAATTGACAAGGCTGTCATTCGCTGAAGCCTTCATGATTTGCATTTGCATCTGCATCTCGAGAGGAACCGGCCTCTGGGCTAAAGTGGAAGCCAATGGAAGCTATATACTGTAATTGAATTGAAATGCTGCACCAGCCCACTCTCTTTTAAGTAGGAAAGCCTGATGAATTCGGTATTGCTTTTCTGCACTGGGTCCTTGACGCATTTTCAAGCATGGACAGAAATCCTTGGGGTCCTTGACCCTGGCATTCAAATCTGATCAAAGGAGAAAGACATTCCGACCAATCTGTCTTAAAGAATTGTTCGATTATCTGGCAAACAAAAGCAAACCAAATTAATAAGCAGGGGCACCAAAAGAATGCACGCAATGATGATTCCACGACATGCATGCTCCCTAGAATCTGCTCATTGCACAAGTGAAAGTAGAAGCGCAAATGTGGGAATGATGGTCACGTCGGATTCCTGGTCCATCATGTTGGCGCTTTTCGTCCTGATCATAGAAGCAACAGTTCATGAAACATTCCTTGGACAGTGTTCGTCCACAAAGCGCGGGACCTCGCTTGTGAACCAGTGACCAAAGCTGCAAACCAGCCCACCACGGCGTTTCTGCTGGCCTATCATGGCACTTCATCACCAGCATGAGGTTAAATGTAGGCCAGGCAAGCTCTACAAAATAGTTTTAAACAAATATATATATATATACAAACCTAAACACCATGATCGTAGCAAATTCAACACTGGCAGCTCCGATGCCTCGCCAGCACGAAGTAGTGGTGCCACGATGCTACTCCCCTGCCGAAGCACCTAGGAAACCACCGATCCACCTGCTGATTGAAGCTTGCTCATGCTTGCTTTCCTTGACATGCAGTTATGTCCTTTCCGCATTGACTGGTCGGCAACATGGCTTTTCATGCATTTCAGAAGGCATCGGCTATCCACAACCTCTTTTTCGAGGCAAAGTACCCCGATTATTGCTGGCTGTGAAACCGCAGAGGAGACCCGAGGTGACTTGACCTAGAGAGCTCCGCATTGGCGCTTCACGTCAGAAAGCGCTGCTGACATGAAGCCGAGGGATGAAACAATGTTGAAGCCCGCGGTGACACAAAGGTTCTTTGCTGGAGTATCTGGCTTCTCTGGGCATTCCGTGGCAAGGATTCCCATAAATCCAGCAATGGTTATCAGGGCAGCTATGACTGCAGAGATATCGAGGCTGCAGCCCATCTTGAAAGCCTCTGCCTCTGCCCCCAATCCGGTGGCTGCTGGGCATTCCATGATGCCTGCAGTGAGGAAAACACCCACAGCAGCAGTAAATCCAACCACACCTGCAATGTCAAAGCCGCACTTCACATCCTTCTCTGTCCGTCTATGATTCTTCTTGGCCTCTCGCCTGAGTTTGAAGAATTCTCTGTTGTCTAGGAGCGTCTTGGCAAGAGGGCCCAAAGCGGGCAGTCGAGAAATCAAGATCTCTTTGACGTCATCCACTGCGGCTTCCACTTTGGGATCTCGGGGGGCGGCTGTTCGCAGACGTCTTGAGAGGCCCCCAACAATATCTAGGGCTTCAGCGTCTATGTCAAAGTCATTTGGGTATGGTGGACACACTGCCTGGGCAGTTTCTGCCCCTGCAGTCAAGTAAGCAATCCCAGCTGACACCAACGACATGTCGGATGCACACCCAGCTCCTGGATTGGGAACTGGTTTGATGGTCATGGCACAGTCGTTGGCCGCACGAGCCAAGAAGCCAGCTATGAAGGCAACAAGGGAAACCGATGTTTCAATCCCAATTCGGCAACCTTGGTCAAGCAAGTCCTGAACGGTAAGTTTTTGCTTCACGGAAATAATGTTGTCAATTCGAGGCAACAAATCAACAATTGCATCAGCTTTGAAGACCGACTTTGTTTTGTCAGCCTTCTTGCAGGCAACATCAGCGCCATTGATGACGTTTCCGAGGATACCGATGAAAGAAGCCACGAGGTACACACTCACGGTGCAAGAGGCGATTGGCAGGGCCAATGGGTTTTGGATCATGTCCTGCAACTGTCTCCTGATGTCAGTAATATTGGCCGTCATGCTAGCATTCGTAAAATTCATCCCGTCCCGATGATGCTGGATGGCACTTTGTCCATTCTGTCCCTCATCATCAAGGAAGAGGTCTAGAAGTTCTTGGACCCCCATGTCCTTTGCGACTTCAAGAGCAGGCTTTGGAGGCTGAGCAGTCTTCCACATGCTAAGTGCCACGAGCAACAAGCAAGTTCCAAGGCCAGCAATGGGCCAAGCAGCACAGTACCATCTCCCATTGCCCTTACAGCACCCTTCCCCGTGCGGCTGTGTCTCTCCCACTTCAACCTGCAAATAGCCTGCCATTGTCGATAAAAAAGATTGACAAGGCAGCGCTGTCAAACCTGGGGCCTTCTGTTCGAAGGTCTTCCAACTACTTGGGCCCAAACTACTACAAGGTGCCCAAGGTGCCGCACGGTTCAATGCTGCAAGCGGCTGCAAGGTTCAAAACTGGTTCAATCACACTATGCCACTTTGCATCGTTTTGTTCAGAGTTTCATGTATGTAGATTGTATCATACTGCAAAACAGAATGCTGGGCAACAAACCTCCTGCACTGTGTCCCGAAGCAATCTTTGAACCTGGCTGAAATATGTTCGTCTCTCAACCAGCCTTTGACAAGAACTCCTTCTATAGGAGACAGGAACTGAACGCTTTCTCCATTGGTCTCTTTTGATACTCCTTGCAACTTAAAACTGCAACAGCTGAGACCGGGCCGCCGTGCAGACTCGACTGAGGCCCGGCTTCGGGATGCAAGGCCACGGGAGAAATGCACTGAACGGGCGCTCTGTTCCTTCCCCGAAGCAAAAAAAAACTATGAACAAGGTAATCCTTCTAACTAATGTTTCAAGGCTGGCGTAGAGTTTGTTGTTTGATGTTGTTTGCCCCTTTGCCGTTTCCTGTCATTATGATTGCTTGCGGAGTGTGCAAATTGAGTTTGAGTCATTGCACGACAAAAGGTTTACTATATCTATATAGATTATTTAAAATTATCAGCAATTGACAATTGATGTCAAACCAATATCACACGCCTTGTACAAAGCTGTGTCAATGCAAGTTGGCGACAATATCCAACCAAAAAGACTCTCCGATTGAAGCCTCGCGAAGAAGAAACGAAAATAACGAAAACCCATAAAGGCAAAAGCCAAGCCCTGTTGACACAAGTCTAATCATAATCGTTCCCACCTCCATCCCATGCCAGGCTGTGGCACGGCACCAGAGGCACCTTCCCAAGAACACAAAAGCAGAGAAGAACACGGTCTGCGTCAGCATTACGTTCCTTTTGTGGGAGGGTGGGAACGAAAGCGCGAGACTGTCCTTTCTAGGTGTTTCTGCCTTTACAGAGAAAGGAACCCGGAAAGCACTGGGCCGTTGCACATTTGACCTTGTTGGTTGTACTTGTATAGTTCATTAGAGGTCTTCGTGTCTTGATGCTCTCGGTCATCCACAGTAGTTATTTGTGCCCATCTGCTGTGTGTGTGTGATGATCTGTAGCGTCTGTGGGTTGTCGCCGTGTTGACTTGGGATGTGTCGGAAGGTGTGTGGTGGCCTGAGCGGCTTGAGTGGTTTGTCGGTCTGCTTTGTCGGTCCCAAGCTGCCCAAACCGAGATGCAAGGGACGGCTTAGGCCACCTTTCAGTTTCAGCTGAAATCCTGATCTTATTTCCCGACCTTGATCCGTGAACCATACACTACGCATTAAATCATCCAGGAATGCACCAGTTAGTCACCTCAACATGCAGCCAAACATATGAAACATATCCGTTTTTCCTTTCGCGAGTCATGGCATGAGGTCGCTTCAATTCACAAGCATGAAATACAGTATACATAAGCGTATATAGCTGGAACTAGCAGCTAGCAAGCTGGTAATTCTGAGGCACAGCAAGAATTAAATCGAGGCACTGAGCAACTGGCCTGCCATCATGCCAAGGAACGGATTCGGTGCAGCCTAATTGTGTCGCTCTGCGGTGAAAAAAACACAAGTCGTCCGCTCATCTGCACAATTCCGCACATCTGATCACATCTGTTCTTGCCCCATCCTGCACCGTGGATGGTCGGAAAGCCGGCAAGGTCACCAAGAGCTTTGCCAAGGGCCCCTGCCGCCAAATCGCACTCACTCGGCTTACACAATGACTAAATGTTGAACAAAGCATCTTCAAAATGACTTTCCCACAACCAATCCACCTTCGTTGCGCTGACATCTGCTATTAGTCGGAACTCCTCCGGCAAAACGAAAGACTGGTCTCCACAATGACAAGAATAGGATGACTGGGAATCAGTCAAAACACAATGCACTAGCACAAACTCAAGCAAATTCAGACCCAATCCTTGGCATTTTTCCCTTGGCCTCATCTGATCTTTACACTGCGAAATATGCTAGGTTGAGGTTCTGCCGCAAGACCACATCGTGGTTTCTGAGATAAATGATCAACAGAATCACACAGAGCAAACTGGACCCTGTCTGGATCCTTGCGAACCATTCGGCCAAAAGGAAAGGCAGTGACCCAGGGTCACAAAGCTATCCTCTCGTCTGAAAGGAAGGCTTCCAAGAGTGAAGGCCGTTTGCTTTGCCCATTCGATGATCCGGAAAGCGGTTGATCTCGATCTGTATATATTATTATCTATGTATATATATATAGATATCTGAGAAGGGGGACGAAAGCCAGCAGCCGCCAGACGAGTGTCTCTTTTTCTGGCGGGCGTCGCGGCACAAGATACATGGTCGGCAGCTTGCGAGTCAGCGGTGCCGCGGATGCGTAATGGTGATGGAGGGAGCAGAGAAGCAAGCCGGGCGACTTTGGGATAAGTTTGGTGTGAAAGAAGTAGTGAAAGAGAAGTGCGATACGTTGTATGTTGGTGTAGGTCATCATCACAAGGCAATGGCATGCGTTTGTCACATGCAGGAAGGTATGCATCTTATGGAAGGCGACATCAGCGTTAGCGAAGGGGAAATACCGTCTGAGTTCGAGTGGTGGGATACCACGTGCGCACGCGCGCGCGCGCGCACGCGAGTACGGCATGCGATTGAAAAGAAGCATTTATGTGTTTGTTACATTTGGAGTGTTTGAAGTTTGCAATGCATACTGCGGCGCATGGAAAAGCGGGATTTTTTGATTTGGAAGAGTGAACGGGCAAGGCTCCATGTCACTGACCCAGTTGCCCCTGGGAAGGTGATTAGGTGTGATCCTTAGGTAGGTCGCCTCATCTCGTATGGTGGGACCCTGCCGTTCTTTATCCTTGTGGTCTTTGAGGCGATCTTCATTGCTTGGTTTTAAGAAACTGGCTGCGCGGGTTCGCGAACCCACCTGGCACCGGAATCTGCGCCGGACCAGGCAGAGGGCCAGAACCTTCTTGAGAGGAGGAGGGGTGCGCCCCGTGGGAAAGAGGCAACTTCGTCGCGGACGTCGAGCGGCACGGTTGCTGGAGGCCCATCACGGGTCACACGTGCCTACCTCCCCAACTATGCAGAGCCAGCATTGGAAATGCCGCAGATGTGGGGTCTTCATGACCTACCTCCTTAATGCATTGTAATTACTGGGTGCCATGCCTGGTGGGAGCAATGCATGGACAGGAGGAAAAAATCGCGGTCCAAATCTCAACGCAAGCAGAGAAGCCAAGACCAGGGAAAAGCCAAGCAGGCCAAAGAACCGGAGACACCGGTACCTATGCTCCCTTCCTTCATGGACTGGACAGGCACCGGGCAACCATGGCAGAAGAGCACTCCGGAAGGCCGGCTAGCGGACCTGGAGGATGTGCCACCGCCACCCACTCTGCCACCACCTCCTATGCCTGGAAACCAGGAGGAGGTCTCAGTGGAGGTGAAGCAGCACATCGAGAATTTGCAGAAGAGCTTGGGCAGTGCCTTTACACCCAAATTGGAGCAGGACATTTTGGCAGCAGCAAAGGCACCCCCGGCCCCAAAGCTCGAGATCACGCACACAGACCTCAACAGAGCCAAGCAAGCTCGTACACAATACGAGGCAGCCAAGGCCAAGCTCAAAGAGGTCGACACCAAATGGAAGCAGTTCAACCATGGTTTGCAAGCTGCCTACAACGTCGAGCACGAGGAGTACAAGCAAAAAGGGCAGCGGCATTGGAGGAGCTGCAAAACAAGAAGTTGAAGCTTCAGGAGATCCAGGAACGGATCAAAGCTTCTGCTATGAATCACAAGATTGTGGACGAGGAGACAGAAGAGAACCAGGTGACGGCTTTCCAGATGGCCGACCCCATCGAAGTGGACTTAGGCTCCGACGAGGAGGATCTTTCCAATCATCAACCTGTGCCATGTTTTGGGCGAACCAAATCATCACCGACCCGACAGGCCGAGACACCTATGGGGGGAGTCCAGAAGAAGGTCAAACAAGAGGCCGGGACGGCGTCCAAATGACCTTCTTGACGCACGAGGGCTTCCCTGGGATGACTTGGGGTGACTGGGATTGGTTGGTTGGTCGATTACCTCCGTCGGTGCCCTGGCTGCATTTAGGATGGATTGCGGCCTCTTGGGGGATTGGGTTCCTTCTACTTCTTCTTCTTCTTTGGCAAGGACTGCTCCTGAGGCTTTCGAGGTGCTGCTGGTTTTCTTGGCGAAGATTGGCAGTTTTTTCCATGAAGACTCGAACTTATCTTGGAGTGTGTCCAAAGGAGGCGTGTTCACAAACATTGCAGCGGTGGGGTGACGTTGACTCCAGTTGCAAAGAATCGAAACCCATAAAGAGGCCATTTGTCGCCTCAGCGGGTTTTGGAGCTTCTCTAGGGATTGTTTGGTTAGTTTTTCTCTGGCATGGGGTTGGACAGGTCCAGGGACACGAGCAATCCTTGAGCATGTATGAACCGGCAGGAAGCCGGCGATTTGGTACCCTAGGAGACCATGCAGGAGGATTGGGGGTAGAGCGCCTAACGAACGGGTGCGGTGGCTCATGCCTGTTGGCCTACCCTTTTAGTCCTCAGCATGGCAAGCTCCTAAGGGAACAAGAAAACAACATGGCAGTAGAGGAGACTTGGCTGATGCAACAGTTGGTTGAGCGACCCACTAGGTGGGTGGCCATTCACAGCGCCATGCATCAGGGTCTCTACAGGTTATGGCGGCACACCTTTGCAGCTCGTCATTTTGTTAGCAGTGATGAGTTCAAGAGTGTGAAACGCAATTTCCATTCAGGAAATGAAAGATTTCAGGCCTTCTTGAGGCCACTAGGTGAGGAAAAGTGGATCCTAGCTCAGCATGTAGAGATCCCGCCTGGGCACCCGCCCCTTCGTGACATCATCCTCTACCAGGATGAGCACACATACTGTCTACCAATCATGATGCAGGTTCTCACGGAGGATGTGGTGCTCCAAGGCACAGTTATCCTGGAACGGCCCTATGCCACCGAGTGGATTGATTCGGTGGTTCTTTTCGCTTTTTGGGATCCGCCTTGTCAGTGTGCTAGCACGGACTGTTTGGTACTGCTGCCACACAGAGCTGACTATGGAGAACGTGTTGAAGTGAGGCCTGGGAGCTTTGTGAGGTTGAGATGTGGGCCTGAACGCGAGCCCTATGTATCTGAGAATTCCTCATGCTCTACGGCACTTGGTTCCCCGAATACTGAAGTGGGGGGATCACCTTCTACTCAGCTTGTTGACGAGGAGATGGTTGATTACGATCCTGTTGATGGCGGAGCACATGGGCTGGAGGATGGGGATTCTCATTCTCTCTTCCAGGTTGAGACCTTCATGCCGGTGCGGACTTTTGATGAGAGCATTCTGGAGATGTGGAGAGTGCATACCGAAGTTCGAGGTCTTGATCGCTTGAACATGGATGCAATGGCCTATCTCTGGATGGAAAGAACTGCGCCTCTTTTGAGGATCAGACACGTGAATTTCAAGTACCGCACGTGGACGGCGGCATGGGGAGACATTATGGCTCTTACGCCAGAAACTCTGATCCCTAAAGTCAGAGCTGCTTTGCGTGACGATTTTGCACCCTCAGTTGATTTGTGGGTCGGGCTGTGACTCCTCAGCCTGATCAGGCCTTGCAGGGGCACCAGGACCACTTCGAGATTTTGGTGCAAGGAGGGACTGGTGGAGTTCCATCTCTGGTGATCTTGCACTATGGCACTCCTGTTCGGCCTCATACAAGAAGTGTGCCTATCTCCACTGGTAATCCTGTCTCCTGTGCGGAGGTTCTGATTTTTGCAGGGGCCAGCAATGTCTGCAGCGCACCAGGCATGCAATGCTCCTGTTTTCTGGAGGGAATTGCGCCTTTCCATGATGACAATGTGGTGTTGCGTGGATGGCAGCGGATTGATGTGCATGTCTCTGAAGTGACTGAGATTTGTACCACTGCACAATCTAGTGAGGACTTGAACTATGCCTTTGAGGAGGATGTGGTCACACTCTTTGACTTGGGACAACACGAGACGGCCGGAAGCAGCTGGGCCGATGCGAGACAGGTTCTCTTCGACCGTGTCCTGTTCCATGCGGAGATGGATGACACCTTTGAGGCCCTGGTGGCCAATGTGGTGGGTCTCTCACAAATAGTTCTGTTCTTAGCGGACGGACAGGATGCTATGTTTGGATTTGTCACACAAAACTGGCATGGTCAATCCCTGGTGGGGATGGTAGAACGACGGTGGGAGCATTTGAGGGGTCTGCAATGGGACTTCATGGTGCTACGCCTCATGCCATCTATGTTTGACTACCACGGACGCATGTTGCTGCTTGTGGTGCCGCCCGCGGTCATCAATAGTCAAGACTCTCACCCAGCAGTGGTCATTGAATGGACCTTTCAACTCCGATGGGCTTGCGTTGCCTTCTTTGAAGCCCGCACTCTTCCCTTGCTTATCACCAGGGAGGAATTGCTGTCTCTCTTCCTCACGGAGGTACCAGCTCAGATGGATGTGAGAGTGGACATTAATGGCATACGGCAACCCCCATACGGGCGTATGCACCTCCGGGCTGGTGACGGCATACATGTGGTGTTCAGATGGCAGCAGGTCCAGTTGCTTTTCATGGATTTGGTGGCGACAGGAGCGGCTGCAGCTGACCTAGCGTACAATCTCTCACCAGGAGGAGTGCCACCGGACTTGTTCGAGGAATGCTACGTGAAGGAAGGGAGGGCTGTCATCCTCCTCCCATCTGGTGAAGGCATATACTCGAGGACCCTTTTTGCACACCTCCACCTGGAAATTTACCACTACCAATTGTGGTTGGACTCGTGGGCAAAGACTCGATGGCCGGTGCTAGTTGCTCATCCACACTGGCACTTAGATCAAACACATCGAGCCTACCGCGCTTCTTCGCTCTTGGGGGACTTGATTGAAGTTTTCTACGTAGCATCAGAAACCTATGGGCTGGTGCATGTGGTCGCAGAGTTAGAGCTGGTAGGTCTGAGACGTGATCTTGCACTTCATGTGAAGGTCTTGCAGACCCCCCCTCAGGCCAACAAAGCCTTCTTCTTTTGGCAATGGTTTGATATTGCTCAACTTGAGGCCACCAGTGACCTGCCTTTGGTCTTTCTCAATGGCCAGCCGGTTCATCAAGATGTCGTTGAAGTCCATGAAAGTGATTATGTCCTGGTGAAGGTTTTGGACCCTGAGGACATCCGTGAGATGAAACGTCAACGACAATGCCCGGCGGGAGCTAGTTCTTCAGATTCACTTCCTCAAGAAGCACATGCACCCAATGTCCAGGCTGCGACAGGCCCCAGCCTTATGCAGCAGAGTCGAACTCTGGGGCCTCATCGGACGTTTGCCGACATCCTGGGGGGGGCGAGAGCGCTCGCGGTCGCCGCCTGGTGGATCCGATTTGCTGAAAGTGTATGGAGAACATTTGCTTGCCAAGGAATGTCCATGCGCTTCGAACACGTGGCTTCATTCTGCTAGGTCGTGTCTCTTGGGCCCTGACTGTCTGGCCCTGCCGGGATGGGCTTTGGAAAATGCTCAACTCCTGGATATTTTTCCTCCACCTCATGAGCCCAACCAGGTCAAGAACTCCTACATGTTTGCTGCAAGTGGCACTTTGAGGCCGGGACAAGTACTCATCCTTGTGGAGCTCATTCAGAACATCCCACAGACAGTCGGACGTCACTCCAAGACAAGACGGGTTCTACGTGCGCCGGCAGAATATACGAGGGTGCGACTGTTGGCAGATATGGGAGTTACAGAGCAATGTGAGGCCGTGACTTGCTTAGTTCTTCAGGGGAATAGCATGTGGCCCAAGGAAGACAGGGCACCTCGGTTTGCTGCCTTTGGAGGATCCTACACAGTCATTGCGACTCATGATGATGATGGAGCAGATTGTTCGGCCTCCTCGTCTGACAGTGTCTCTCTCTTGCAGGTGCATTCTTCTTTGCAGAGGACCACACGGCAAGCTCCAACCTTTGCTGCAAGGGCACTTTTGCGTTTACCCCCACCTGGCAATGGTAAATGTGTCCACTTTGATGAGGTCATTGAACTGGCTGATCCTGAAGGGCATGTTGAGCGATATGTTGATCCTCTGCTCCAGAACGACCATTTCACTGGCTTATTGGATAAGTTGAACAGTAGCTTGAAAGACAATGAGTTCGGGCACCGCTTTGGACAGTTGTTGCGCAGCCCTGCCTTTCATGAGAGTCACATTTGGGTAGACAACTGTGAGTGGCAGGCTCCTGAGAAGGATAGTGGAAGCCCGAAAGGACATCACGAGATGGTTTCCCTCCTTCCCTTAGCGGAGGAGACTTGCAAGGAGATGGAGGAGGCTGACCAGTACGGTGTTGACTGCAGTGCGGTGATCCAGGCAATGGATTGGTTCAATCATCATTCATGTATTCCTCTCTTCCCTCAGGGCATCCATTGGAAGCCATGTTCTATGCCTTGGTTGAACCTCCCGAGGTGGCAAGGGGCCTGTCCCCAGGAGTTGCACTTCTACCTCGATGGCTCGATGGTGGATCATCATGCGGGAGCTGCGGTAGTGATGTGGTCTTTACGACTGAATGGCAGTGGGCAGGAGGTTTAATGCATCAGTTGGATGAGGGCTGCAATGCATTTGAGGCTGAAGTGGTGGCGCACATGCTGATGGCAAAATGGATTCATGACCTGTGGAGGACACAAGGCAGGCAATGGATGCATACGCCACGTGTTGTGTGTCATTACGACTCGACTTCGGCTGCGGGTTCTGCCTTGTGAGGCACGTGATCTTTGGGCCATGAAAAGTCATGAAAGCCAGGGGACTGCAGCACCTTCTGAGGCAAGGTCATGGCATTGAGATTGAGGCGGAGCACACCTATGGCCATCAGGGAGACCCGGGCAATGAGGCGGCCAACACATTAGCTGGTCAACTGGGAGGTTTTGCCCACCAAGAGTGCGCCTTTGGGAGCCTATATGTGCAGACCTTCCTGAGGCGAGCTTACCACCAAGGAACGCCAGCTGCAGTCATTTTTGTTGATTTGCGGGCAGCCTTCCATTCGGTTGTGAGAGAGCTGGTTTTGGGTTCGGCGCTGGGAGATGCTAAAGATCGAGACATACTCCAGGACGCTTTGGCCCAAGAGGGCTTGGAACAGGATGTCATTCAGAAGCTCCTGCATGCACCTGGCATTTTGCCGGATTGTATGACGACCCAGCTACTCCGTGAATTGCATAGTCGTACTTGGGCCACTTTGAATGGGGAGGCGGTGCGCACTACGAGAGGCACACGACCTGGAAGTCCCCTTGCTGATGCTATGTTCCATTGCCTCATGGGGCCTGTGGTGACGGAGTTGGAACAGATCACCAATGCTCGCCCGCAGCAGCAGCACATGCGGCAACTATGTGGTACCCGAGCTGCGCAGATAGTATGGGCAGATGACCTCGCGGTGCCCGTACTGGCATCTTCCAATGAAGATCTATTGGTGGAGATTGGGCACATCTTTCTTGCAGTGGAGCATGCTTTTGAGAAGAGAGGCATGACCTTGAACATGTCCAAAGGGAAGAGTGAAGCCCTACTGACTCCAGCTGGTACTGGTGCCAAACAGATGCGAGAGAGTCTTCGTCTGCAACCACGTTTGGAGCTTGACACTTTCCATCTTGGACCTGGCAAGCGGGCTTTGATGCTAGGCGCGCAATACAAGCACTTGGGCACGACTCTCTCAGCAGGAGGTCTGATGGGACAAGAAATTCATCGAAGGGTGGGTCAGGCCTGGACGGCCTTCCGCTCTATGTCTCGACAGATCTTCACTAGCTCTGCCCTGAAGGAAGACACGCGCCTGTTCTTGCTTGAAGCTTTGGTCTTCACCAAGCTCTACTACGGCTGTGGATCTTGGCCACTGCTGAGGGCTCAGGACATGCGACGACTACAAGTGTGTCAGAGCAACATGCTCCGTCGAACACTCAAGCAGAACAAGTATGATGGTAACCATGTGCTCACCGATGTCGAGATTTTGATGAAGGCTCGGTGGTTCCGGTCAGGGTGCGGTTGGCGCAACATAGGCTGCTCCTGGCCGCTCGTCTGGCACAGCATGGGCCATCCTTTGTCTTGGAGGAACTTCAATCTGAGGCTGAGGAACTTTCTGATGGTTGGCGTGCTGGCCTTGATGAAGATTTGAAATGGTTGGCATCAGCTATGGATTTGAGTACGTGGGGCACTACTTTTAGTGAACTGCAGTCTCATTGGACCCGGGGGCGGCCGGGTTGGAAACGCATTGTGAAGCAGGCTGGACAGAAACATGTCATACTACTTCCTCGCCTTTGTGGCCGCGCATGTGTTCGAGGGGGAGAAGAGGACACTCTTTTAGATCTCCTTCACCAGGCGCAGCTGAGATGTGAGTGTGGGATGGTTTTTCGGAACCATCGGGCCTTGCGCTTGCACCGCATTCAGAAACATGAATGGCGCAATGCTGAACATGGTCGCATTCATGGGGCAACATGCCCTGTTTGCCTACGCCATTACTGGACGGCCAACAGGTTGCAATTGCACTTGCGCTATGTGTCGCGGCAAGGCCGTCCCAATCGCTGCGGTGCTTGGGTTCGACTATATGGTTGGTTTGAGGGCCAACGTACAGACCTCCCGGCAGACAACTTTGTGGCTCTTCCTGGTGCTACGCGGAGAGATGCAATAGCATTGGTTGGACCACGGGTCTTGGGTGCCGATGAGAGGGACCTCCAGTATGTGGAGCAGGAGTTCTTTCAGCTCAGGCAGGATCTCCTGCTTGAGGGGGTCTCCTTTGCGGTCGACAACGATTGCAAGGAAGCTCTTTTGCTCTTCAATGCTCTGAGCGCCTCCCTTTGAAGGATATGCAGCACCTGTGGGCCGATTTCCCAGCAGGAGAATGGTTGGGAACCTTCTTCCTTTGGTGCATGCATCATGATCTACAGGGTGAGGACTTGGAGTGGTGGCGCCACACGCTTGGAGGGTGGGCTAATGGGTCGCAGCTCCTACAGGCACATGATCTCGCGGTACATGTTCACCGCCTTCATGAATTACAAGCCAATGTTTCTGAGCGGGCACCTTACCTTGGTCCCACCACTGCAGTGGACCCAATGCATTCGGGGCATCTTCCACCGCTACCGGAGTGTGGCGTGAGGGAATGCCTGTGGCTGTTCATCGACTGACACTCCGTGTTTTAAGCACGTTGCAGTGAGGTGTTGGCAGCTCGAATTGAGCTTTTGTCTGCGGACTGCTCTACGCCATAGGCATGAGCCTACAAGCGGTCGCGAAATGAAATGAAAAATGAGTGAACGGGCACGTCTTGGCCGGGACACGGACGTTTGATCCCGCGGCGCAGAAGGGGAGGTCCAGCGCGAGTAGCTTGGGGTGAGGATTTGTGTGCCTATCGATGCACATGCCTGGACTTGAGTGAGTCATGTTCTGGCTCGATCCAAGCCACAATCTTTTTCCTTTAAAGGTGCCTTTATTAAACGATCCAAACACATTGCTTTTCTGACCCTCGAATTGGAGCGCTCTCCCCCACCAAGCTCCGGGTTCAAAATGTCCCTCTCAACACCCTCCCACCCCCCCACACCCCCTTAACTCACTTCGTTCGCTCCAAAAGCTCAAGCCTAGCCTATCGGCCGGCTTTCGCAATATATATCTGTGCTAAAGAAATGCAAATGAATGATAGCCGTGTCACAACATCGTCCAGATCATCAAATTGTATTTGGAGCTGTACCGCAAAGGTGGAAGCACAGGCCAATTTCTGTGCTGGTGTGTGGATTCGACATTCTTCCCTGCTCTTGGCTTGCAATGGGAATCCACAAACCTGGGTAGAAACTTTGTTCCTTAGATTTGCCACTGCTCAGCGCTTCTTGCATCACAAGTCACATCAAGCTTGTCACCCCGAAGAATATGCGAAATTGAAACGCATTCCATTGCCACGAGTTCTGAAAGACCTCAGCGTCACAAAGAGACATACAAATGCAAACCTTGCCACACCACGGCTTTGGGTACATGGAAAGTTCTGCAAAAAGCCTCTTCCTACATGTCCTACCTTGTTTGAGCCACAGAAACAATGCTGGCATCGTCAAATTATCTTGTTCATGATGCAGAGTGATCTGTGAAGGCCCAGCCTCAAACTCTCCCGGTTATGGGATGTCACTGAGGTCCTCGGAAATCAACCTGACAAAGAAATCTGGTGGCTTGAACACGCTGAGACCCAACCCACCAGAGTAGTTGACTGATATGAATTTCACTTGGTTTGAATCAGTATGAACGAGTGTGTATCGCATCATCAGACTTGGAGTCTGCCTGCAGTTGTGCTTTGCAAGCTGTAAGGGGTCACAAAGCTTGAATACACGCAGAAAATCGAGAGTCGATGATCCATACTACGTGAATGAGTTTCTTCGCAGCTGGAAGGCTGTTCCATCCAAATACCTCAAAAAAGGGCAATGTGTGCAAGCCTGCCCAAGAGAAAGTCACATACCCCTTGCTGCAGAGACAAATCTGGACAAATGCCAAGTCAGAAAGTCCAGATGTGTCGGAAAGCAATGGAAAGCAACCCAGTGCATCGGATGATCTAAAAAGAATCATGCAAAGAGAACACTTGAAACAGCAGTTGCCTCAGCTTCATTCATGACTGTTTCCACATATTATTGAAGCATGTAGATCAGTGATAACTGATAACTGTAGTGACGTCAGTCTGTGGAGGATTGGCAGCAAAGGGCCCTAATTTGCAGACAAAGATTGTTGCATCAGTTCCATAAAGTGCTTGGCTTTAGATTTGTTTACCATGCTTGCCTGAGACAATTCCCTACTCACTCAGCTAGTGGGCTACTTGTCTTCCTTTCCACGCAATAAAAATCGTCTATGTACCCGTTGTATGCGGTAACTCCCGGTAGTGGGGGTGGAAGTTGGGGGTGGTCCTTTGTCCTCCTGACCCAAGTGGGGTGACGACCAATCGCTTGGCTTTGGACAAACAGGATGAACTGCGTGAATCAACAGGCTTCACTCAAAGCACGGTACCGTGTACAGTGTACACATAGCGTCCCCATCTTGGAGATCCTGATCCAGCCTCACAATGGGCGGCCCCTCGGCTCCCACCCGCCGACGCTTGGCATCGGGCTCTTGCTCCTTGACCGATACAACATGCGTTCAGCACATCATCTCGAGTTTATCAAGAAAAGGGGACTATGAAGACCATGTGTCCGCAATGCAATTGTTTGGATCTTGGGTTACTGTAACTTTGCTTCTGAATCTCTGAATTTTCCAGATCTCTGATCATCTCTCCAGTCCTCTAAGTCTATCACCTCGGCATCTGTAGCTTCGCCCACAAGTGCCGCTTGAGCCTCACAAGCCCAAGAATCAGAAGCCATATAATGACACACCAGGGCATTCAAGCGGAATTCACTCTATATATGTCTATATATAAAATATATAGAGAGAGGATACCAAAAAAAGACCACACATGTTCTTCATGTGAAAAACATCAGCACCCAAGCCCCTCCTTCCGTTGCAAGGCCCGCAGGTGCCGCCGAGCGCCCGAGGCACTAAGCTCAAGCTCGCCTGCCAAAAGCAAGGGACTGTAGCGTCCTTGCTCCTAGTAGTAAGGCCAGGAGCCCCTAGTAGCGTTCTTGTTACTACTAGTAAGGCACTTGTTACTAGAAGCGATGCACTTGTTACTAGCAGCGTCCTTGCTCCCAGTAGTACGGCCAGGAGCGGGGGGGGTAGGCCGTAGAGGAAGGTAGCTAGAGGTAGCTAGTTCAGGCAATCGGTAGCTAGTAGCTACTAAGACGCTACTACCTAGGACGCAGGATAGCTCACGCTTCTTCAAGGAAGCGCTCGCACTAATGATTGTGTTTCTATATGTTTTGGGAAACAAGACTTCTACTCAGTACGACTCTCTTTGCTTGAATTGTCCAATTTATTGAAGTTCTCGAAAGACAAAAGCTTCCTTTGAATACTTCTTCCTCGTTCCGAGTTGTTACTCATATTTCCGTCCAGACTTCTCACCGAAGAGGCACTACGTCTATGCTGACTTTCATACACAAACCAAAGTCCACTCCACCTTATCTGACCGTGAACTTTGTTTGATCAAGCTCGACCTGACTGGAGGCTATCAAACCAATACAACTAAAGTAAAGCAATAACCACGCAAGCAACTGCATGCGAACATTGCAGCGAAGTGGACACCCATGCTCACAGACTTGTCCACTTTCCTCACTTCGCACATACCCGCGATAACCATCCGTAATTGACCATCAAATTTTCACCTACGGAACGTGTGACAATACGAAAGAGACCACATGCTGCCAACCTGCTGGGCAGTTATACAAAATTTTGAAAGTAGTTCCAGTGACCACTCCTTTAATGATATCCTTCTGAGGACATAGAGCTACTCGACAAGTGTGGGACGTGGGAGCTCTTTCAATATCTTGTTTGGCCAGATCCACTCCAGTCGGTTTTCCAACGAGGGTCCTGGCATCATTATCACTTGTCCTGTCGTCCGCCCGCTGCGTGTCCGCCGGTCCGCCCGACTCACTCTCGCACATCACTCACTCACTCTCTCTCTCTCTCTCACACTCTCACTCTCACTCATTCATTCCTCTTCGATCCACTTTTGCCTCCAATCGTAGTTAAAAACACAATATCTTCACATGTGGGATTATCCGGTCCCTTAATTGCTTTGTACATTGTTATGTATATATAGTGACGGACTGAAACTTAGAATGCCGTTTTGGAAACGGCGGATGATTTTTTTTTTGACTAGATTATACCTAAAAGCCAGCATTCTAAGTGCAAC